TACATAAAACTGTATGCATAGTCTCACTTAGTATACTTTAATTGATTTAGAAATTAACACAATTAACATGCACATGCAGGCATAGCATATACACTGTACATGTATAATAGGACAATTGAAACATCATTACAACATCATTTGCTCTCTCTCTCTCACTCACTTCCTTTCTTATACTCCAGCTGGTTACAGACTCTATTAGCGGACTTATCATTCCATCCTTTATTACAGATGGTCCCCCATTGGCCTCCAATACATAACTCCACACGACCAGCTGCTCTTGTCCCGCCCATTAACCTAACATCACCATTCTTACAGGAACCACCTTGAACTGTATGATATCGTATGATTATCACATGATTTGATGACTCTCTTTTACCCTGGCATATGATTCCAACTGATTCAATTGTGTCACAGTTTGTTGAACGAAACCCGTCGTTTAGGCAGCGACCAATGGTCGTGTCTATGTAGCTACGGCAACGGATGGTATCAAGATAAACTTGGAATTCATCTTGAATGAATACAAACTTCTCACTTGAAACTGCAACTGAAAAAAGAAATAAAAAATAAAAAAAAATAAATAAATATTAAATAAATAAATAATTATTACTTCCATTATCAGAGCTGAATCCCAGCTCAGTGCACAACACTTGAACTTCATTCATTGAGAATTCATCATCACAGACAGTACCATAGCTGCCATTGTAATAGATTAGCAGTAATCCTAAATTACTAGCGGACAGGAAACTAAATAAAGCCGTATCTCCATTAGCAGCTGCAGTAGCATCTGGATCTATGAAATAAATAAAAATATTATAATATACACATAATTATAGTATAATAATTTCAATAATAAACTGATTATTATACTATTATTATATTGATGTCTTACTGCTGCAGAGTACTCCACTGTATTGGTGTTCAGGACAATAAGTAATGGACTCAAGACTAGCACAATCAGTGATAATGTTAGCAGTACCACCAGTGCACTGAGAGGAGGTGAACTGGACAGCTGGTAATGATGAAGAAGTGCCATTGGACCAGCCATGATCCTTTAATATAACTAGAGAAACAGAGAGAAAGAGAGCTAGAGTAATAGAAGAAGAGTTGTGATTATTTAATTTTTGCACATTCAGCCATTTTGTTATGATTCTAGTTTGTACATGCAGATGTAATGAAAAATATACTATATATATATAGCCATTAAAAATTACTGCAATAATAATAGCAAATAAAAGAATACAGATCATGTACAAATGCTTACTGCCAGCTCCTTTATAGTTGAGTGATCTACATACAATGGTGGCAGTGTCTACATTCCACCTGCTGTCAGTACCAGCACACAGAACAGACCAGGTGTCATTATAACAAACTGATACTAGTCCTTCATATTCTCTTGTACTACCAAATAATGTTATACTACCTTCTGTACAGGTACCTATTAAGAGAAAGTGCAGAGAAAATACTTAAATAACTTACCCGTTACATTTGAAAAGATTAGAGCAGTCAATACAATGATGCATATAGAAGTGGAAAAAAAAGAGAATGACATTCTTTTCAAGAAAGCGAGCAAGTTAAGGTCAAGCAGACTCAAGCTGCAACTTGAACTGGTGTCATTATTTGAGGGCTAGGCGTGGCATCATATATATTGCAATATCGTCATTATATTAAGAGTAGATAATAATTATCTACTCTTGATATTAATTATACTATAAGGTCATAATTTCAAAAAAAAAATAATCATTATAATAAGCAAAAAGTAAACAGACATAATACTAAATATTGGTGTTATTTAAAAAGCTGCTCTTACAGTTCTGATTTCATTGAATCAGCTATCTTAGATAAAACTGGGTCATTTATTTTATGGAATATGCTAATTAGCTGCATTAAATACTGGCATTGATCACTGGATGCTCTAAGATTACGACGCAATTCTCTTAGAAGTGCCTGTGCTCTCTCATATACAGGAATAGTAGAAGTTGTAGCTTTATCAAATACATCATCACTGATCAGTGATATACAATGAGATGATGCTTTTATAATATTAAGCTCTGTAGCCATAGTATCACAAAGTTGAGGAAAATGTGAATCAAATATAAGAAATGGTTTTTTTCCCTACAAAACAGCAATAATTATTATTATATTGCATGGATGTACAGACATTACATTAGATATGCATAAAATTTTCCTTTACTTGTATTTAAAAAACTGATATTATCATATATTTGTATCTACATGGTAAATATCATAGAATCATATAATTCAATTTTGGTATTCATTATCTGAATTATGAATATGATTAAGATAACATCCATTAATTATCTTAATCATTTCAAATAATTTAAGACCATTTTTGCAAAGTTTCATTTCACCCTTTAATTAATCAGTCAATATCAGTATTATGATGTATTGTAAGACCTGTTTTCCATGTAAAGATAAAATCTTTGGTATATTAGTGACAAGATGCTTGTCTAAAATTAACATAAAGAAATAAAATAATTTATATTTCTGGTACATGTATGTACTCACCATAGTCTTGTAGCAATGCTGTTCCTAGTTCTATATTATCAGTGAAC